CGGGGTTTCACCATGTTGACCAGGTTGGTCTCAATCTCTCGACCTCGTGATCCACCCGCCTCGGCCTCCCAAAGTGCTGGGATTACAGGCTTGAGCCACCGCGCCCGGCTATAGTAGCACATTCAATAGACAGCAGTCATTCTTCAGTATGGCGTTCATAGTCCACTGTGACCCAGTTGCAACCTGTCTAGAAGAAACCTCGGATCTCAACACACTCCATGCAGACATACACCATTCCAGCTACATTTGCCTGCCTGAAGTCCTTAAACAAACAGAAATTTTTTTTTTTTTTTTTTTTTTTTGAGACAGGATCTTGATGGCTCATGCAGTGGCATGATCTCAGCTCACTGTAGCCTCAACCTCCCTAGCGATCCTTCCATCTCAGCCCACAGCGCCACTTCTCCCCTCCCCCAAGTAGCTGGGACTACAGGCACACACCACTACACCGAGGTAATTTTTTTTTTTTTTTAAATAAAGGCAGGGTTTCACCATGTTGTCCAGGCTGGTCTTGAACTCCCCGACTCAAGCAATCTGCCTGCCTCACCCTTCGGAAGTGCTGGGATTACAGGCATAAACCACTGCCCCCAGCCTAAATAGAGATTCCTTACCTCTGGCTTTGCTTACGTTGTTGCTTCCTTTGGGGTGTTTCTTTCCCATATTCCTTCTTTATATGTTATGTAATATACCGTCTATTCTGTGAATGTTTACAATTTCCTTATCTGTATAGACCACTTTGTCCCCAGCCAAATTGTAACCTCCTTGAGTCAGGAACTGTGTCTCCAATTCATCTTAGAAGCTCCCAACAATCCCAGCAAGGGGCCTGGCCTGGAAGAGCCTATTAGTAAATGTCTGTTGAAAGAATTCATTCCAAAAGAATTTATTATTTTATTATTATTATTAACATTGCTTTTCTTACCAAAGGGTCCATTTTGAGGGATGGCATTCATCTATTTGTGCAGTATAAAATTTACTTGTGTCTCACACTCATTTATTTAGAACCTCATCTAACATGTTTTCCAGTTTCTATTGATAGATATGAGGGAGATGAGGAAACACATGAGGACCATACACACATTGATGCTAGAATATGATTTGGCAGCCATTCGATTAATTTTTTTTATTTTTTATTGAAGTATGACTTACAGGAAAGAGCTCTTTATTATTATTATTATTTTTTTTTTGAGATGACCTCTAGCTCTGTCATTCACACTGGAGTGCAATGACGTGATCTTGGCTCACTGCAACCTCTGCCTCCGGGGTTCAAGCAATTCTCCTGCCTCAGCCTCCCGAGTAACTCAGGTGGCGTGTGTCACCATGTCCGGCTATTTTTTTGTATTTTTAGTAGAGACGAGGTTTCACCGTGCTAGCCAGCATGTTCTCAATCTCCTGACCTCGTGATCAGCTCACCTCGGCCTCCCAAAGTGCTGGGATTACGGGCATGAGCCACCGCGCCCGGCCAAGAGCACATAATCTTAAGTGTAAGTTCTGTGACTTTTTACTAATACTCAGATCAAGATATAGAACATAATTTGACTTTAGAAGGCATTTCTACCTTCTTTTTTTCCCATCACATCAAGGAACATTTCAGTGCTAAAAAGGCATTTCTACCTTCAATTATCTCTTAAATCCCTTTCTTCCTTTTAACCCTCCACCCTCACCCCTCTGCGGGTCGAATCAGTCTCTCCCTCACTGTCTTTCTCCAGTGCCTGGCTCATGGCAAACACTCAAATATTTGAATGAACGAATCAACAAACAAATATTGTTGAATGAATGAGACCCAAATTGGAAATAAATGGAGGTCTGTAGGGTTGTGCCCAGTCTATTTTGGGTAACTTGTTCAACATTACCTGCATGGGCCTCCAAAGTTAAAGGGTACCTAGTGGGAATTTAGAGGTAAGTTTTTTTTTTTTCTTCCGCTATATAACAAAGTTTTAAAGTGTGGTTAAGGGCACAGAAAATTTGAGCCTCAGGCGGTGTCCTCCTCATCCCCCTGCACCCCACACCCAGGCCTGGCTGGCCCGATCCCCGCCAATCTCTGCAGCCCTGCAAAGCGCCCCGCCCGGCTGCGGTCCCGCCAGCGGGGAGCCATCCATCACCGCCTGGATGCCAGCCAACCCGACCAGCCCCGCCCTCCTGCCAGCCAATAGCTGGAAGGCAGGGGGCGCGCGGAGCTCTAAGTAGTATAAAAGGGGTCCGAGGGCCTGGCCGCGCTACCTCTGCGCCCCGGGTTGGGTCTGCGTGTTGCTGGCTTTCTGTTCCGCGCCAAAGCCCCTGGGGCCGCTGTTTCTGTGCGTGCCTTCTGGCAGGGCCCTGGCTCCTGGGGTCTGGGTTTCAGACATGCCCTGGTGCCCATTCTGCTGGAGGAAAGAAGGCGCCCTGAGGCCCCCTTCCCTTATACACTTGGGGCGTGCAGGGTCGCTCACGAGGGCAAGCGGGTGGAGGAATGCAGAAAGATGCAGAGGGGCCCTGGGGATGGCGGGAGACTGACTGGAAGGCTGGCCCCGGCGGCGCTCGGGCCCCGCCCGGAACCGGCGGCCGCCCTTCCCGAAACCCAGTCCTCCGCGCTCCCCTCCGCGCCTGCCGGCTCCGGCCTGTGGCAGCGCTAATGAGGACGTCTGGAGGAAGCCGGTGCCAGCGGGCAGGACTCTGGGCGGCAGGCCAGGCTTGCCGTCCTGGCGGCCCCAATGGGCTGCGGGTGCCACGTGGAAGCTGGGAGCAAAGCAGCCCATGGCCCTCCACCTCCAGCGGGGTCTCCGCCTCAGTCCCCAGAAAGCCTGGTCTGCAAACTCGGGGTCCTCGGGAAGGGGCAGCGACCCTCCTTGCCGGCCCTCCCGGCTCCTCTCCCGGTGCCGCACAGCCCGCTCTGTGCGGTCCTCTCCGCCGCGGCGTGGGTCCCTCGGCTGCTTCGCAGCACCGCCGCTCCCCGCAGGTCCTCCGCCACCGCAGACGAGGACACCTTTCGGGTCGCCTCTCGGCATTGCCACCCGCTTTCAGCTCATTCCTTTGAACCCAGTACGATTCTTGTGTGGGCCAGGGGTTCGGACGGGCCTAGGGCAGGGAGGCGTGAGAAAGCCAAATGAACTACTGCGGAAACTGCACCAAACACTTCGAGCTTTCAGGGCCTCGGTGCTCCACTCCGTAAAATGGGGAGAGCACCTCGTAATTCACAGGATTCAGTGAGCCAGTTTGCGTGAAGGCCGGGCTCCTGCCTGCCCCTTTCCATTCCTGTCCCTGCTACATTGGAATGTCAGGGCGGAAGCGGGCAGGGCTGCTCTGCCAGGAAGCGCATGTGCCCCTCCCTCCTTGTGGTCGGTTAAGAATGGTGGAGGGAGCCAAGCCCGGGTGTGGCAGCGTATTTGCCAAAATATTTATGGAAAACGTCTCCTTTCTTGTTGCCACACTAGCTCCTGAACTCCAAGGAATTTAACCGAATACTCTTTTTTCCCTTCCCCTTTCGAGAGCTGCCATTTTGCATTATTTACTGGGATGGGTTATGCACCCAGCACTTACAATGTAAATGTTTACATAACTATATATTTACCATTTTCTCTAATTACATAAGTAGTCAAGCCCGTTATAAATGTCGAATCTTTCTTTTTTGAGACGAAGTCTCGCTCTGTCACCAGGTTGGAGTGGAGCGGCACAATCTCACACCTCCCGGGTTCAAGCGATTCTCCTGCCTCAGCCTCCGGAGTAGCTGAGACTACATACGCATGCCACCACGCCCGGCTAATTTTCGTATTTTTAGTAGAGACGGGGTTTCACCATGTTGGCCAAGATGGTCTTGATCTCTTGACCTTGTGATCCGCCCGCCCCTGCCTCCCAAAGTGCTGGGATTACAGGCTAAATGTCCAATCTTAATTGGACAGTTTTATAATGTAGGATTTGAAAGTCGCAGGGACAACTTCTGTTAACATCCACGGCTAGCCACTTTTCCTTTCTCACTGAAATTCCTGTGCCCACGCTGGCGCGGAACTAGCAGGGTGGGTCACGCGTGCAGGTTGCTGGGACAACGCCCTGTCGCCCGTGTTGGAAACGAGCTAGACACTCTCAGGAGCCGCAGTCGGGCCCGCCCTGGGGGTGGAGTTAGCCAGCGGAGCTGCCCCGGCGGGAGCGCGTTTCCCATCTATCCCTGCAGGTGGCGCCATAGGATCGCGGATGCTTTCCTGGGGCGGGACTTCTCGCGGTCCTGCGCGCCTGCGAGGGGTGGGGTCGGGGTGGAGCGTGAGTCGCCGGCCGCAGACCGCAAAGGATCAAGGGAAACGAGCTGCCCCGGGACGCCACGCTAGACAAGCTCGGGCACGCACTTACAGGGACGCAGAAAGTGTACGCGTCGGAGAATGGAAGGGAGAAAACGAAGTTTCTGGGACGACGACAGAGAAAGGAAGTCGCGTCGCCCACAAAGGCTATACATTTCCATCCTTCTCGTTTGTCCCTGGGACACCCCTCCGCCATCCTCTCCCTCCGGACCTGCAATTCTTCACACCCCCTGCAGCGCACTGGGTGCTCAGGACACATGTGCACGGTGGGGGCTGGCCATGCTCTCTCGCCCCCACCACCTGCAAGCTTGCAGAGAGCTGTAGTGCCCAGGGTGTTTGCCAGGATAGGATTTCCACGGTTCCAGGCATGGCAAGAAAAATAGCCATGCTGTTCCTCGGTTTGTTCAGAGAAAGCCTTACTCCCTTCCCTTCTGGAGGCTGGGAATGGAAAAAGTGACTCAAGGAATCCCCAGCGGAGCCATCATGTATGTACTGCACCGCAAAATAGAGGTACCATGTTTTACCCTCCCCTACCTGGCAGTATGCGCCACACATGGGGCTCTGTGGTATCAGCGTCGCACCCCCTCACGGTGTTAAATAGTCCCCTTTCCCTTGTCCCACATCTCTCCCCAGTCACACAACCACAGGGACACGCCCCACCTTGGTACTGGATATCCCTATGTCGAGCCACAGACAGTGCGGGAGCCCACACACTTATGAGGCCAAGAGATAAGGAGACCCTTGGCAGAAGACAAAAGCAGGTTTATTAGGGCCCTGGGGCCAGGAATGCCTAGGGTATGAGTTAAGGCCGGGGCAATGAGAAGAGGTGACTCTGCTGAGGCCAGACTTTTGCATCTCCTGGCTGGAGACCTTGGGAGTCAGTTCTGGGAGGAGCCTGGGGATGCAGAGGGGTCTCTCCTGACCCTGGGATCTTTGGGCTGTTGCCAGGAGTGGGGAAATGGTCTGGAGGGCAGGGAACCTTGAATCCACAGCCTTCATTTCAATAACGACCATTTAATTTGTTCCTTGGCGGACTGAAGAACCTGGAGTGGGGGAGGTCGAGAGAGAATGAAGAAGAATGTCAAATGCCTCCACACACAGTCATGGGGAGGAGGTCCACAGCCCACCTTTCCCAAGCGCCCCTGCACCCCCCAGTCACTAGGTGGCAGCAGCTTGTCTCCACTTGGCTTAAACTCGGCCAACCTTACCTCAGAAAGGGCAGACCAAACTGGCTGCAGCCAGCTCCCACCTCAGGCCCAAGCCTGCCAGACCTCTGGCTCCTACATCTGCAGCGTGGGTGTGGCAGCAGCCTTGTCTCCCCCTTGTCATGGCATGAGCGTTCCCGCCCACAGTGCCAGGTCCAGGTGGAGACGGGGCCCAGGCCTGACACTCCCTGTACTCAGATGCCTCAGCTCTGGCCCTGGCTGGCAATGTGTCCCCAACACCCCACCCCAACCACTGCTGATGTGGCACAGCTGGCAAAGGGTGGCTGGCCAGACCCTGCTGTGGGGTGCCTGCTTTCAGCTGTGTGTACTCCCAGGCCCTGCAGCGGAAAGTCTCAGCCCAGTGCTTACACAGATCAGTACCAGTGCACACATGCATGTGCAATACCAAAGTGGGAGAGGCAGATGGGACTCCCGTGTGTCCCTCAGATTGTCCCTCCAGCCACTCAGCTTCATTTCCTTCCAGAGAAGGAGGGAACACTGTATGTCTCCTCTTGCACAGTCTCCCTCCTCTCTTGGGGACAGTGGCTCAGGGTTCGCCTGATTCTCCTAGCCAGAATCTAACTTTCTCCTGATTTTATCCCCCATGGGCTACCTGCAGCTTCCTTGGTTTTTACTCAAGAATTCCATTTACAGTGCTGTTTTTGGCTGGGCGCGATGGCTCAGGCCTGTAATCCCAGCACTTTGGGAGGCTGAGGTGGGTGGATCACAAGGTCAGGAGATCGAGACCAGACGGACCAACATGAAAGCCCGTCTCTAATAGAAATACAAAAATTAGTCGGGCATGGTGGCGTGCTCCTGTAGTCCCAGCTACTTGGGAGGCTGAGGCAGGAGAATTGCTCGAACCAGGGAGGCAGAGGTTGCAATAAGCTGAGATCATAGCACTGCACTCCAACCTGGGCAACAGAGCAAGACTCCATCTAAAAAAAAAAAAAATGCTGTGTTTTCATTCTTTCTCCCTTTGGAAAAATACTGATGGTTATTCAGCATGTGTTAACTTGTTCGGAGCCTGCTAAGAGCTTGCCGTGTACTGGCTCACTGAATTCTCATAACTCCATGGGGGAGGTTCTGCTATTATGTGAGGCCCAGAGAGGTTGAGTAACTTGCCCTAGGTCATCCAGCTTTAGGTGGTATGGTGGAACATGTACCCTGGGATGACTTCCACAAGCACCCGTGTTCTTTCTGAGTGTGTGTGTGTGTGTGTGTGTGTGTGTGTGTATGTGAGACGGAGTCTCACTATGTTGCCCAGGCTGGAGTGCAATGGTGCAATCTTGGCTCACTGCAGTCTTCGCCTTCCAGGTTCAAGCAATTTCTCTGCCTCAGCCTCCCAAGTAGTGGGATTACAGGTGCCCACCACCACACCTGGTTAATTTTTTTTTTTGTTAGTAGAGACGGGGTTTCACTGTCTTGGCCAGGCTGGTCTTGAACTCCTGACCTCATGATCCACCCGCCTTGGCCTCCCAAAGTGCTGGTATTACAGGCATGAACCACTGTGCCCGGCCATACCTGCATGCTTATCTGCTCTGCTCATTACTCCCTACCCTTTTTCTACCCGGAAAATTGCTTTGCAGCTGCATTCATTCCAGCATGGTATGAGGAAACATGGGGAATCAGAGGGGAGGGTGAGGCAGAGTGAACGCCAGGGGCAGTGCAGGAAAGTGGGCACCACACCTGGGGCTCTACATGAGACAGCACAGGCTCATCCCGGCAGGGCCACCACAGCACGAGGAGTTAGTGCCAGGGCGGGAAGTTCCATACAAGCAGGATTAGTCTGAGCAGAGAGACCTGCAGGCAGACAGAAGAGAGGTCAAGACAGTCAGCCTGAAGTAGCAGGAAGTTTGTGCAGTTGGGGAGGCCTGCTGATCAGGCCTCAGAGCCAGGAACATCCCCCAGCCTCCCACTCCGCATGCACCTCCAGATAGGGCCATGCAGGGTTGTGGCAGGTTCTTCCATAGCCAGGTCATTCACGAGCAAGGTGACAAGTGATGAGTGGGGAAAGTCAGATCCTATCATGGGTTTGAGAGTCCTTTAACAATCCCAGCATGCACTCTAAATGGTAAGGACAGGGTTTAGGAGCCAAACTCCTATTTGGTATCCTTTCCAGGTTTGGGTAGAGAGTGCGTCAGAGGCCTGAGTTACCAGATTTTTTGAGGAGACAAGTGACCCAGCCATCTCCAAAGTAGGCAGCTCATCCCAGTTTCAATCCAACTAAACCAAGCCAGGAGAGAAGGTGGGCTAATAGTAACATGCCCATTCATCCATTAGTACCCAGTGCCCCCCAGCTGGAGAGCCCAGAGGCCTCCAATGAGTCTCTCCAAGATATGACCTGTCACCGCCTCATCCCTTCCCTTCTGCACCTCTGGTTTTTCAGCCTTGATAGCCCTATTGGGTCCCCCTAGGATGCTCTGCTCCTCGTATTTCTCTAGACCATTTCTAGCCAAGGCAGATGCAGGAGGGCCTACCTGGGCCACACTCTGTTCAGTCAAGCCGCCATCATCTGCCTGTAAGGAAACAGAATCAAAGGGTGGGGTCGGACCAGGGCGGTGAAAGGGGCATGGGGGAATGGGTGAGGTGGTGCAGTGGTTAGTGTGATTCAGAGCTGCATCTGTGTCACTGGTTAGTAGAAGTCCTGCAGCCTGTCATTTGGAAGCCAGGACCCCTGGGATTCTGCTGTGGTGCATAGAGGGTGAGGGAAGATGGGAAGGAAGGTTTCATCCAGACATGAGAAAGCCAAACAAGGCAGGGAGGTTCTATCCATACCCCTGACCTCCAACCTCAAGGCCAGGGCAGCCACCTGGTGCCTCTTTGAGGATGTATTTATTTCCCTAGTCTATACTTCCTACCAGGAAAGAGGTGAGGTATTTGTGCTCCTAGCTGGGGAAAGGACAGGAAGATCTCTTTCATTAACGGACATCCCACCCCCCCACTCCATTGCTCATCCCACCCCTAAGAAGTTTATCAGCCCAGTGATTGGCTTCTGCTAGAGGAGCTTGGGCTTCTACCATCTTGGTCCTGGTAGCACGGTGCCCAGGGAGGACAGGAAGGGCCTAGAAGAGTAAGGGGACATGCAGGAAAACTCTTACCCTAAAATTCACCTTCTGGATCACTTGCTGAGGGTCACTCTCCAGAATCACACTATAAGATGAGATAAAAAACAGGAGGCAAATCAGTGGCACAATCCTCCCCTTTCCCTATGCGTCCTGCAACAAACCTCTTCCCTCTTCCCTCTCCCTATGCACCCTGCAACATCTTATCAAACCTCTTCTCTCCCCCTATGCATCCTGCAACATCTCCACCTTCCAGGTTCCTTCCCACTGATAGCCCTCAAGTCAGAACTCTCCCTCAGCATGGAGGGGCCTCAGCTCTGATTCCCTGATGCTTCAACCCAGTAGTCCACATGCTTTGTCATCCCTGAGCAAAATCTTCGAAACTCGGTAACAGTCTGGTCTAGAACGATCAGGCTGTTAAAAGTAGGGACTCTCAAAACTCAGGAGCTCTTGAAAGTTCACTTCATCTTCTGGGTTTAGGGGTGGATTCCTGTGAAAAGACTTAGGAAGGAAGGCCCTGGGGGTTCTTAACTTGTTGTACTGTTATTTTATGGCATGGGGTCATGCCCTACATAAAAGAAATGAAACTCCAAAAGTAAGCATCCACCCAACTTCTTCCCATTTTTTTTTTTTTTTTTACTTTAAACATTTTTAAGGTTTTGTTTTGTTTTGTTTTGTTTTTAAAGCTGGGCACAGTGGCTCATGCCTGTAATTCCAACACTTTGGGAGGCCGAGACGGGTGGATCACCTGAGGTCAGGAGTCCAAGACCAACTAGGCCAACATGGCAAAACCCTGTCTCTACTAAAAGTACAAAAATCAGCCAGGTATGGTGGCACACACCTGTAATCCCAGCTACTCAGGAGGCTGAGGCAGGAGAATTGCGTGAACCCGGGAGGTGGAGGTTGCAGTGAGCCAAAATCACATCACTGCACTCTAGCGTGGGCGACAGAGTGTGACTCCATCTCAAAAAAAACAAAAAAACTTCCCTTTTGATAGACCCAAATATTGTAGCTTTTCTCAGAGAGCAGGTACTCCTTCATGAGGCCTTGGGGGTATGTACATGTAGGGTACCTGGGTGTGAGAGCCTGTCACTGCGGCAGGACAAAGAGGACAGGATCTGAGTGCACCTCCTTACCCAGTGAGCGTCCTCCAGGCCAGCAGCTTTGTTTTTTTCTTTTTTTACCAAATTGCTGGAAATGACATTTCTTGGGAGCCTCTTCCAGGTCCCATCCTTGGGCTAGGCACCCCCTGCCCCAGGCTCCCTAACCAGAGGTCCTGTAATCCATAAAGACAGAGCATCCCAGGCCAAGGCTCCAGTTTAGGCGTTGCCTCCTGACTGGCGCTTCCCCAGTTTTTCTTGGCAGGAAACTGTGAGCTCCTCTGAGGCAGATGAGAAACTTGTGAAGCTTACACCTCAGGCATCCTCCTTTGCACAAGCCATCCAGAGCCCTGCCTCTCGTTTTGCATTTGTAGTTTTGTGTGTGTGTAAAGTTTTCCTTCAAGAGAGTTCACCAAATTGTCTATGCTTCTGGCTCCCCCAAACCTGGCCTTACCCTACTCCCTTTTGAGTTCCAGAAATCTGCGGGAGGCCTAGCAGTAGCAGGCAGTTAATGGCTATAGAGAGGGAAGCATTCCTTAGTGCCCCAGGCAGTTCAGTACAGTGCCATGGAAAAAGCACAGCCCCTGGAACCATGCACGTGGTTTTAGATCTTGGCCCCGCCAGTCCTTAGCTGTGTGAGTGACCTCTGGCATGTCACTTGAACCTTTAGGCCCGTTTCCTAATCTGTAAAATTATGTAATGGCAGCCAGGCGCGGTGGTTCAAGTGCTGTAATCCCAGCACTTTGGGGGGCCAAGGCGGGTGGATCACCTGAGGTCGGGAGTTCAAGACCAGCCTGACCAACATAGAGAAACCCTGTCTCTAACTAAAAATGCAAAATTAGCTGGGCGTGGTAGCACATGCCTGTAATCCCAGCTGCTTGGGAGGCTGAGTCAGGAGAATTGCTTAAACCTGGGAGGTGGGGTTTGCAGTGAGCTGAGATGGTGCCACCGCACTCCAGCCTGGGCAACAAGAGGGAGACTCTCAAAAAAAAAAAAAAAATCTAATGATAGAGGCATGTATGTTTTTAAAGTGCTCAAGAAGTTTCTATTATCCTTTGTCCCAGAGCCAGAACTTCTGGTTTTTTTTTTTTTTGAGACGGAGTTTCACTCTTGTTACCCAGGCTGGAGTGCAATGGCACGATCTTGGCTCACCGCAGCCTCTACCTCCGGGGTTCAAGCAATTCTCCTGCCTCAGCCTCCCAAGTAGCTGGAACTACAGGCGTGCGCCACCATGCCCTGCTAATTTTTGTATTTTTAGTAGAGACAGTGTTTCACCTTGTTGACCAGGATGGTCTCGATCTCTTGACCTCGTGATCCACCTGCCTTGGCCTCGCAAAGTGCTGGGATTATAGGCTCGAGCCACCGCTCCTGGCGCAGAACTTCTTTTTCTACCTGAATTTTGATCCCCTGATGGAAATTCACGAACCAACTTTTCTTTAAAGTGCTCCTAGTTTCCTAAGAATATACTAGCATACCAATAGGAGGCAACATTTATTGAACGAGAACCACAAACTTCACATGTATCTCCTCATTTCATCCCCACAATCCCTTATTCTCCCCATCTTAAAGATGGAGAAAGTAAGGCTCCGGGAGTCAGTAACTGATCCAGATCACACATCTAACTGGTGTTGGAATTGAGCCCTAAAAGTGGGAGATATCAGGCTGGTAGGACTGTCTGAAGTCCTTACAGAGAGGGCCAGAATCTGTGCTTCCCCTGGGCATTGGAGACTCTTGAATAGACAGGGTTTGGGGAAAATCCCGAACCCTGCCTATTCAACAGTCTACCATAGTTTGACATTAGGTTATTGTCTTGTTTGGCTTGACTGTGGCTAACGTTGAAATCAACTTCCATCTTCATGAGTGGGGCGCTAGTAAGGGGAAGGGGTGGGGGAATGAGGGAATGGGATCCCTGGAAATATGCGGGGGGAGAAGTTGGTCAGACTTCTGGCCATGCTGGGTGCCATCTGGGGCTGATGACTCTCAAAGGCACTGCTGCTGTGAGTGTCCCTGACCATCCCCTCCTTACCCGCCATCCACAATCTCGTCTAGCACCAAGAAGGCTCCGTCCATGTTCTCGAGCAACCAGCGTTTCTCCACGTTCTTCCTGAAGGTGGACACAAACTCCTGAGCCTCCCTGTGCCTGGGAGGAACTGAGTTCCTGCCTAGGTGAGGCCAACCCCACTCTCCAGAGACTGCTTCAGTTACCCCTTACCCAACAAGGAACGGAAAGGAGAATGTGAAGGGTAGTAAGCACAGAGCCCATGCAAGGCATTCCTGAGCACAGGGCAGTTCTGCTTACTTGCACCCCACCTTGTCCAACTTCCTACACTTTGGACCTTGACACCTCAGTACCCACCACAGGACCCCAAATGCATTTCACAACCAGGTTAGATGCTATAGCATAGCCCTACTTCAGTTCATTGTATCGACTGTGAACTTTTCTTTTTGGATTATCTTAGTCTTTTGGGGACCTCAGGAGAAAAACAGGAAGGAAGGGCCCTGTGACATATCAGGGCCGGGGGATGGGTCCTTAGAGGGCAGAGAACCTTACTCACCTTAACATGTGGTTCAGAGATTCAAACAGGCAGGTGAGAACAGCCATGAGCATCAGCTGGGATGGGCAGATATGGGAGGAGGAAAACAAGAGAGCTTGAGGTTAAGAAGGTCAAAAGAAGCCCTTGAAGCCCACCTATGTGGGCAACAATGGAGAGTTCTCCCTTTTCAGAGCCTGGGCTGGAGACTGCAGTGTGACATTAGAAGGAATTTCCCTGTGTCTGGGCTGGGAAACTGGAGTTCTCCACTGGGAGACATTGAGTGTATCCTTCTCTAGTTAGGTTTAAGAAGGACAAAGCCTCCCTGCAGAGGAAGTGATGACCTCATTCCTGGTTCCCAAGGAAACTAAGGGGCATAGAGGATAACACAGTGTCCCAGAAAGAACCCTTCTGGCTGTCCCCCTCTACCCCATGGAGCCAAGAAGGACAGTCCAATGGTGAGCCTCCAGGGTCCAGCCTCAAGCCCAGATTCCAGGCCATTTCCCCATAGACCCTCATTGACCCAACCTCCTGATTTCACCTCATTCTCATAGGATGAGCCCACCACGTATAGGAAGAGGTCAATGCTGTTCTTGTAGACGATGGTCATGCCCCCGAAAAATGCAATCTCACCTAGAAGTGGAGGGAGCTTTCAGTCCTGGCCACCTTGCCTGGTCCCAGCCTAGCCCCTCCTCCTCATCTATGACTCTGTGCCTCTCCTCTTATTTCCTTCTCCCCTTTCCAGGGAACCCTTGGAAAGACCAGCACTAAGGACAGACACTACCATTAGGCTGCCTTGTGTCCTTCCCCTTATCTGCTACTCTATTTCTGGGGACTGCCTCAGGCCAAGGAGGCAACAAGCCCAGTTGTTGACCAGTTGACCTCCTGCCCACACTCCCACCCTGTGCAGCCCCTTGGGACCAGATCCACGTTGGGACCCCAACACTATTGGCCTCCTCAGCTAGAGAGAGGTCTGGGGATGCTCGGGGTTGGGTGGGGGGCATTGGAGAGTGACAGGGAGTGGAGGTTCTCTAGAGGAAGGGAGTGGAGAACAACTGGGAAGGAGAGGACAAAAAGCCACTAAAGAAAGGGAAATGGCCTGTGGGTGTGCAAGGCTAACAGGACAGATGTGTCCAGATGGAGAAGATCAATGTGCATCTGAGAGTCTGGTGGAGGAAGAGGGGGACACTTACTGTCAGTCCGGCTGGTCTTGTTGAAGACATTTTTCTCAAAAACCATCTGCTCCTTCATGGAGGGGAATGTGTCATCATAATACTATGAGAAAGGGAAGGAGAAGCAGCCATAGCTTTCCACACAGACTGGCTCCTCCCTGGAGCTGGGGTGGGGGAGCAGGAAATAGTGGGTGCTGGGCAAGCAGGATTCTGCTTCCCTACCCCATCTACCCATTACTGCACCCTAGGCCTGCTCGTTCACTACTTCCAAAACAAATTCTAAGCAAAGAAAGTCCCAAAAAGTAGAGGGATATTGAGGCCTACTTTTGGAGTCTCCTCCTGGTTTCTTAAAGGATCTTGTACATTCAGCAGATGTTCAGCATGCTAAGGACTGGTGTGATCTCTAGGGCACACTTACTCTACAGCACCCTGAGTCTATAGCAAAACCAGGAGTCTTTATTTATTTTTATTTAAATTTTTTTTTTTTTTTTTTTTTTTTTGAGACGGAGTTTCGCTCTTGTTACCCAGGCTGGAGTGCAATGGCGCAATCTCGGCTCACCGCACCCTCCGCCTCCTGGGTTCAGGCAATTCTCCTGCCTTAGCCTTCCTGAGTAGCTGGGATTACAGGCACGCGCCACCATGCCCAGCTAATTTTTTGTATTTTTAGTAGAGACGGGGTTTCACCATGTTGACCAGGTTGGTCTCGATCTCTCGACTTTGTGATCCACCCGCCTCGGCCTCCCAAAGTGCTGGGATTACAGGCTTGAGCCACCGCGCCCGGCTTAAAAAAATTTTTTTAAAGACAGGGTTTCACCATATTGGTCAGGCTGGACTTGAACTCCTGACCTCAGGTGATCTGCCTGCCTCAGCCTCCCAAAGTGCTAGGATTACAGGCATGAGCCACTGCGCCCAGCCAGCAGTCTTTTTTAAACAATAATAACAATCATAACAACAGCTGCTTTATTATCCCCATTACACAGATGGGGAAAGTGGGGCATCAAGAAGCCAGGTAACGGCTGGGTGTGGTGGCTCATGCCTGTAAACCCAGCACTTTGGGAGGCCAAGGTGGGTGGATCTCAAGGTCAGGAGATTGAGACCATCCTGGCTAACATGGTGAAACCCTGTCTCTACTAAAAATACAAAAATTAGCTGGGCGTGGTGGTGCGCACCTGTGGTCCCAGCTACTTGGGAGGCTGAGGCAGGAGAATTGCTTGAACCCAGAAGGCAGAGGTTGCAGTGAGCCAAGTTTGCACCACTGCACTCCAGCCTGGTGACAGAGCGAGACTCTGTCTCAAAAAAATAAAAAATAAGGACCAGACGTGGTGGCTCACGCCTGTAATCCATGCACTTTGGAGGCCAAGGCAGGCGGATCACCTGAGGTCGGGAGTTCAAGACCAGCCTGACCAACATGGTGAAACCTTGTCTTTAAAATAAATAAATAAATAAATAAAATAAAAAATAAAAAAAAAAAGAAGTCAGATAACTTCCCCAACATCTCACAGTTGTGAGGCCAAAGCTGGATTTCAGCACTAAGGATGGTCTGACTGCAGACAGCTTTATAGTGAAGATTAAATATCTAAGAAATAATTACTGGCACACATCCCATAACTAAATTAACATTTTTTGTTTGGGAATGGTGAGCCTCTCTCTCTGACTCAGTTTCTTAATCTGTAGGGAGCGAGAACCTTTGGCCTTGCTGATCCACCTCTGACCATCTGCTAGGGCAAGGTATGGTCAGCTCAGTTTTCAGTTTTCTGGATGTGGATTTTGCTACTTAGTACTCAAACTGCAAACAGATTAGCCGTCTCCCTACTGGCCGCTGCTGTGGTGAAAAAGCTTATTTGAGTGTCATAAAAACAAATAAGTTTCAGCTCCAAACAAACAGAAAATCTATTTTTTGAGATGAGGTCTCACTCTGTCACCCAGACTGGAGTCCAGTAGCTCAATCATGGCTCGCTGCAGCCTCAACCTCTCAGGCTCAGGTGATCCTCCCACTTCAGCCTCCCAAGTTGCTGGAACTACAGGCACATACCACCACACCTGGCTAATTTTTTTTTTTTTTTTTTGTAGAGATGGGGTTTTGCCATGTTGCCTAGGCTGGTCTGGCATTCCCGGGCTCAAACGATCCACCTGCCTGAGTCTCCCAAAGTGCTGGGAGGATTAGCCACTGTGGCTGGCCTTATAATGCACTTCATAGCTAATGCAGATACTACAGCTCCACAACAATTAATTATGTAAACAGTAAAAATTTATTTTCGGATTATTTTAGTTTGGTTCGCTCAGGCCATGTTTGCTAGGATAGATGCCAGATAATTGAATGGGGGATACAGTGAAAACTACCTTGAACTTCATGTCAAGAAACCTGAGTTTGCCTGTGAAACCTGTGAAATGGGAGAAGTGAAAAAACTAAGTAATAAGTAAAACTTGAGTTTGGATCTGTTAGGATATTAATACTTGTGACCTCAGGGAACTCACTTAGCTTCTTTACACCTCATTTTCTTCATCTGCGAAATTAAAGAGTTGGATTATACAGTCTCTAAAATCCCATCTGGTTCTAAATCGTTAGACTCCTTAGACTAAATCCTTAGTGTTTACCAAGCTGTAGAACAAAAGTGGAGGTTTTGAGGAGGTTTAGAGACAAACCCCAAAGAACAAAAGAGCTTGTTTGGGGGTTTGGGGACTAAGACTCCTGAGTCACAGGCTAAACACTCCACTGACCCATTAGGCAGAACTTTCCCAGGCCCAGGTCCAACTGGCCAGTAGCAGAATGATGAGAAAACACTTCAGAGAGCATGAGAAGAAACGGAGGAGACCCCTCACTTCAGGGAGCAGCACCTTGACAAGGCAGGAGGATGAGAAGGACCTCTGGAGGGGTCTAACCTGAGCTGCCCTGAGTCAGAGATCACAGTGGAGTTTCTCCTAAGACAGGAGTGTCAGTTGGGTGGGAACTGTGCCCCTCATGGGTGGGGTCAGACGTTACCTTGGCCAGCAGCCGGTGCCCATCATTATCTAGGATGAAAACAGCCTTGATGGTGTAGAGGGAAGGTTCCTGCAACTGACACCAGGGAGGAGAGTTCTGTTTGGCCCCTGATGTATCCATGGGCTGGCCTGGGATACATCCTCAGGCTCCAGCAACCCCAGCCCTCAAGGTCCACAGCTCGTTATACCCAACCCTGTGCCACATGAGCCAACCCAGGTGCCCACTCCCAGGCAGATGTTCCACTGCAGGCCCTAGTGGGGGCTGTGCCCGTTGGGTGCAGAAGGTCCTTCCGGGCCCAAGTTCTGTCATGCACTGACTGCTCCAGAGCCCGAGTCGGAGTGTATCACAGAACCTGGGCCGGGGGGGACAGCGGGCCGAGCCTCCTCCTTCCAGCTGATCCCCTGCCGGGCTGGACCTGCGCTCTCAGCGTGCCCCCAGGCCCTGGTGGGCTCCAGAAGCATGCCCATCACCCACCGGCGATGGGAGCCGTGTCTGGGACGGACAGGCCACTCCTTACCCTCCCCGCGGAATCGCAATTCACCCGCCACCCCCGCTCCAAATGGACCCAAAACTTCAGCCCCGTCGGGACAGGCCTCCTCGCCGGTCGGCGCCGGGACAAACTTTTTCTCCCCGGGCCTGGGGCCGGTCAAGGGGTGACACAAAGTTCCCAGCCACCGGGCACGCGAGTTCTGAGTTGGCTGCTCCCCCACCCTGCTCCGTCCCGGCCCAGCTCCCGCCGCCCGGGAGCCCCCACGCCCGGCCGCTCCGTACCCGCAGCCCCGAGGGCTCCCCAGCTTGAGCAGGCGGCGCTGGGCCCCCGGCGTGGGCCGCCGCGGCCCCCTCCCCCGGGTGCGGACGTGGCCAGGCCTCGGGCCGCTGCATTCCACTCGCCGCCTCGCACTGACAGCACCGCCCGCCGCCTGCCCGCTGCCGCCGCCCCGCCTCCGCGCCCGCCCCGCGGCCCCTCTCACGCGTGGCCTTCCTTTCCTCGGCCCGTCCTCAGGCTCGTTCTCCTTGCTCTCCCCTCCCGCCCTCACCCCCACCCTCTCCTTCCCCCACCTCTCCTCTCCCTCTCTCTTCCTTGGCTCCTTCCCTTACAGCCCTGAACTCTACATCCTGAGGGTACCCCAAGACCAGCCGTCGTCCCGCTTCCTGCCTGCTCTCCGGTCTGTGGCTTTAGTGTGCACCGGTGTCTGTAGGCTGTCCTGGGTCCAGCAGCAAACACAAGCAAAGCCCACTGCTGTCCGTTAAGCCCTGGTAGGTACCATGGGGACAAATACGTCAGGTCACCCTTTGGATCTCAGGGACAGGGTCTATCAGCTAGAGCAGATGAGGATAGTTCTGAAAACACCCCTCTGTGGAGAAGAGGCTTTCCCATTCCTCTCTCACTACTTGCAGAAGGGAACCAAAGTCCTGGAGACACCACCCCAGGCTCTCCTAAGACACAGATGTGGCACCATCAGAAGCAAGTACAAATGCTCCACCAATGACATTGAGCTTTGCAGCATGTTTTGGTTTCTTTGGTCTAAGTGTACCAAAGACAAGATCTCATTTCAGGGTATACTGGCTAGAGGGAAATTCACACCCTGGTGACACATATGTTACTGTTACCTATGCCTTTACGGGTAACAAGACTGTGCATGTATTTTACATTTGACACTTTGACATATATATATATATATATATATATAATTTTATTTTATTTTTTTGAGACGGAGTTTCGCTCTTGTTACCCAGGCAGGAGTGCAATGGCGCGATCTCGGCTCACCGCAACCTCCGCCTCCTGGGTTCAGGCAATTCTCCTGCCTCAGCCTCCTGAGTAGCTGGAATTTCAGGCACGTGCCACCATGCCCAGCTAATTTTTGGTATTTTTAGTAGAGATGGGGTTTCACCATGTTGACCAGGATGGTCTCGATCTCTCGACCTCGTGATCCACCCGCCTCGGCCTCCCAAAGTGCTGGGATTACAGGCTTGAGCCACCGCGCCCGGCCCGACATATATTATCTAATATAGCCCACACCTGTGAGGTAGGCATGATGGACCCTCATTTTAAGGAAAGAGAGACTGAGAGGTTGTGTGACCTTTTCAAGACTGTACAGCTAGTTGACTGGGGATAGAACCCAGGTTTTTGACTCAAAATTTCTTCCCTATTCTCTTCAAGCCCTCTTATGTTGTGGACCACAGCCATTCACCCTAGATGGTTACAGAATGGGACTTTCCTCACTGAATGCATCAAGCCTTCTTATCTTCAAGCCTCTGCTGAAATGTCATTACCAAAAGGTCCTCCTGACAGCCACCATATCTGATGTCATAGGTCTCTCCTGTCACATTCTCTCTCTCAGCATCCTATTTCTTTCCTTCATTGCACTTTCTCAATGTCTAAATATTATTTTTACTAATTTTTTTGTTTGAGACAAGGTCTCTCTCTCTTGCGCAGGCTGTAGTGCAGTGGCTCGATCTGGGCTTATTGCAGCCTCAACCTCCTGGGCTCAGGCAGTCCTCCCATCTCAGTATCCTGAGTAGCCAGGACCAATGGCGCATGCAACCACTCCCAGATAATTTTGTTTTTATTTTTATTTTTGTAGAAATGAAGTCTCAAGCCTGGGCTCAGTGGCTCACACCTGTAATCCTAGCACTTTGGGAGGCTGAGGTGGGCAGATGGCTTGAGCCCAGGAGTTTGAGACCAGCCTGGGCAACATGGTAAGACCTGGTCTCTACTAAAACAACAAAGAAATTAGCCAGTTATGGTGGTGTCACTTGTAGTCCCAGCTACTCAGGAGGCTGAGGTGGGAGAATCACCTGAGCCTGGGGGTTCAAGGCAGCAGAGCCATGATCATGCCACTGCGCTGCAGCCTGGGCAATGGGAATGAGAACCTGTCTCAAAAAAAAAAAAAAAAAAAAAAAAGAAGAAGAAGAGGAGGAAGAAGGAGAAGGAGGAAGAGGAAAAGGAAGAGAAGAATCAAGGTCTCACTATGTTGCTCAGGCTAATCTTGAACTCCTAGGCTCAAGTGATCTTCTGCCGGGTGTGGTGGCTCACGCCTGTAATCCCAGCACTTTGGGAGGCCGAGGTGGGTGGATCACAAGGTCAAGAGACTGAGACCATCCTGGTCAACATGATGAAACCCCGTCTCTACTAAAAACACAAAAATTAGCCGGGCATGGTGGCGCACGCCTGTAGTCCCAGCTACTCGGGAGGCTAAGGCAGAAGAATCGCTTGAACCCAGGAGGCGGAGGTTGTGGTGAGCCGAGATCAAGCCACTGCACTCCAGCCTGGGTAACGAGCGAAACTCTGTCTCAAAAAAAAAAAAGTGATTTTCTCACCTCAGCCTCCCAAAGTGTTGGGATACAGGCACAAAATACCATTCCCAGCTTTTACCAGTTTGTTTACAGGTGTTTTTTCTTTGTTTACAGGTGTTTGTTTACAGGTGTTTGGCCTGCAAGAACAAATGAATGTGACTTTTTTTTTGGGGGGGTGTGTTTCTGAGACAGGGTCTTGCTCTGTCATGCAGGCTGGAGTGCAGTGGTGTAATCACAGTTCACTGCAGCCTCAAACTCCCAGGCTCAAGCCATTCTCTCTCTTCAGTCTCCTGAGTAGTTGGGACTATAGGCATGTGCCACCATGCCTGGCTTTTGTTTTTTGTTTGTTTGTTTTTTTTTTTTGGTAGAGGCTGGGTCTTGCTGTGTTGTCTGGGCAGGTCTTGAACTCCTGGGATCAAGCCCTCCCCCTGCTGGCCTCCCAAAGCCCTGGGATTACAAGTGTGAGCCACACTGCCTAGCCAAGTATGCTTGTCTTGTTCACTATGGAATCCCTAGCATTTCTTAAAGGGCCTGGCGATGACAGATATTTAATAAGCATTTGTGGAGTAAGTAAATGAATAAAGGAATTCAGGATGAGGGAGATAATGTATAAGTATTCACAAATATCACGTTTTAACTAATAATAATTAAAATGTACCTATCGGCCGGGCGCGGTGGCTCAAGCCTGTAATCCCAGCACTTTGGGAGGCCGAGGCGGGTGGATCACAAGGTCAAGAGATCGAGACCATCCTGGTCAACATGGTGAAACCCCGTCTCTACTAAAAATACAAAAAAGTAGCTGGGCATGGTGGCACATGCCTGTAATCCAAGCTACTCAGGAGGCTGAGGCAGGAGAATTGCCTGAACCCAGGAGGCGGAGGTTGTGGTGAGCCGAGATCGCGCCATTGCACTCCAGCCTGGGTAACAAGAGCAAAACTCCGTCTCAAAAAAAAAAAAAAAAAAATGTACCTATCGATGATACCATATTGGCTGGGTGTGGTGGCTCATACCTGTAATCTCAGCACTTTGGGAGGCCAAGGCGGGCAGATCACTTGAGACCAGGAGTTCGAGACCCCCATGGCCAACATGGTGAAACCCTGATTCTATTCAAAAAATACAAAAATCAGCCAGCCATGGTGGCAAGTGCCTGTAGTCCCAGCTACTCAGGAGGCTGAGGCAGGAGAATCACTTGTACCCAGGAGGCAGAGGCTATAGTGAGCCAAAATCATGCCACTGTAGCCTGGGCAGCAGAGCGACTCCATCTCAAAAAAAAAAAAAAAAAAAAGGCACCATATTTTATGTGCTGTACAAACATTTATTGAGTGCTTAGTATGTACTATGTATTTTTCTAGCCACTGGGACACAGTAGTAGACAAAAGAAAATTTTTGCTCTCATGAAACTTATAATCAAGTGTTTGTGTGTGTGCATGAGTACATGTCTGTGCAAGACATAATATACAAATAAATGGGTAAAGTAGATATTATGTGAGTTGGGGATAAGTGCTGCAAAGAAAAACAGCAGAAATAGGGTATGGAATGTGAGGAGTCAGTCTGCCAGGGCAGAAAACCATTTTCATGAGTCCGCTGAGGAAAACTTTAACAAGGTAACATTTGAACAAAGAGCTGAAGGAAAGGAAGAAGCAGGCCCTGCAGATATTTGAGGAAGCATCTACTGACCCTCCCTATATGATGACTTAGAAGGCACATCTGAACCTTCCTTGCAGGCTATCAGTTATAACAGGGAACATAACTGACACCATTTTATACAGCAGGCAGGGAAAAGACCCAGTATTTGGGCATTTTATTTCTTTGGATTCCGGATCATCAGAAGTTATGTCAATGGTCATGGCTGGGTATGGTTTTTGTTTTTTTTTTTGAGACAGGGTCTTATTCTGTCACCCAAGGTTGGAGTGCAGTGGTTCAATCTTGGCTCTCTGCAACCTCTGCTTCCCAGGTTCAAGCGATTCTCCTTCCTCAGCCTCCTGAGTAGCTGAGACTACAGGTGCTTGCCACCACACTTGGCTAATTTTTGCAGTTGTAGTAGAGATGGGGTTTCACCATATTGGCCAGGCTGGTCTCAAACTCCTGACCTCAGGTGATCCGCCTGCCTCAGCCTCCCAAAGTGCTGGGATTACAGGCATGAGCCACGGCACCCAGCGGGTATGTTATTTTTAAAAACAATGATTTGGTTATTTTGATGCCTTAATATTTCTGTGAGCTAGTCCATTTTTTTGGCTCATATTTACAAAGACTGCACCAAAAAGCCTCCAGGAGCATTTCTGTTTGGCATATGGTACCAACCATAAAAGACAAGCAGCCAAAAGGGTCAGAGGAAGACCTGGGAAAATAGAGGACTTAGGGAGCTGGCTGGCTCCATGGGGAAGGTGAGCAAGGAGTCAGTTACACAGGCTGGGGACAGGAAGGCACTGGAGGGCGTCAAGGGGATAGGGATGAGAGAAGGTTGGGGAATGAAGCTTAGGAACCACAAAGTTCTCATCACCCCCCACCTCTACCACTGTTGTTGCTATTCTTAAAATTTCTTGGCCAGGCGTGTTGGCTCACACCTGTAATCCCAGCACTTTGGGAGGCCGAGGAGGGCTATCACCTGAGGTCGGGAATACCTGACCAACATGGAGAAACCCTGTTTCTACTAAAAATACAAAATTAGCCAGGCGTGCTAACGCATGCCTATAATCCCAGCTACCCG